ATCTGATAATCGTTTTTAAATTAGAATATAACTTTTTAACATATAATTTTTTTGCCTTTTCTTTTTGGTGTGTCGGCCTACTAGGGGCAAAAGAACCTTGTTTCCAGAGCAAATTTAATAATAATATACAAATAAGATCCTTGGGGACAATAGAAAAACGAGAATGTACCTCAACAGTTGAATCTTTTCCTGAGAATAAAATCTCGAATTGAAAGTGGCAGGTGATACATTATTGACATTACAGTAGAGAGATGGCCTGTAGAGAACCAAGCAGGTGGATTATCCTTCAGCACTACATTGACAGTCTTCTCCGCGAACTCTTCAGTAGGAGTAGATTTTAGGCTTTGTGACAAGTTTGCCCTTGCTCGAATCGCTTCGTCAAACTGCTTGTACAATTTCCATTCTGGCATTTTGCTGTAACTGGCTGAAGCAGAATTCCCTATATTCGACTTGATGGCTCCCGGAACAATGTTAATCACATCAATTCCAAAGGGTCGAAGTTCCAATCTGTAAATATCACCAAAGCAAAACGTTCTCAAAATAGAACAAGTTTACATACTAATAATAAAGGTTTCTAGGATAAGAAAACATTCAACAATAGCTCTATAATAGAAATAAATACGGAAAAATGAAACAACCAAACAACAGCTAGTCAAATGTACCAAAAGAGATCATTCTAGACAGAATTTTTTACTGTATAATTCAAATTGGCTCTTATTTATATATACTAAACACAAACATTCTATTGGCAAGGACAACATGTACTAAAACTTCCTATTTAAGTGCATATATATATATATATATATAAGAGACTATTGATAATGAAAAAGTTTTATAATATTTTATTTACAGAACAAGATATAAAAAATTTAATATCTAAATTAGAAAAAATGGAAATTTTAGGAGAAAATGTATTAAAATATTGGGAAAAAGATAAGATTTTATGTGAGTTAAAAATAAAAAATCTTTTTATAGTTATTAAAAAGTCTGGATTACAATATATTATTCCACTATTATTATTCATATCTACTTCCATACTAGCAATTTGACTTTTTTTCTATATTATTAATTCTTTCATCATAAATGGTTATTAAAACTTTACATCCTAAGTTTATTCTCATTAATCCTAAATACTATTTTAATTATTTTTTTCTAGAATACTATTTATATTACGATCAAGAATAAAATATTAAAATAGGAATTGTTAAAGAAGAAGATGATAATTCAGAATGTAGTTACGAAAAAGATCTTATGGATGATTCTAATACATATAGAACCTTTGATGAAACACCATTTGATAAGACTGTTAAACATGAGACACTTGTTTATGGAGGTGGTTTTCCTCCAAGAGGAGCCTATCCTTTTTATAATGATTCAAACAAAAAAATATATAGCAAGAGGTAGTAAAAGACCATTAAAAAAGAAAATAGAATTTCAAGCAGAACATAAAGCACAAATTTTAACTATCACACAGACATGGAATAATGTTATAGACGTTTGGAAAAATACTATAATAGGTC